AGCAGGAATATGAAGGCAGATTTTATATAAAATCGATGACAAGTAACATTATTCTTGCTATTGCTATCACTAATGCAGTAACTGCCAGGTTAACAGTGTTGGAAGAAATGAAGACTTTATCAAGAAAAAGAGACCAGTATAGAACAATTTTTTAAAATAAACAGCCAAACCTAAGAAAGAATCTTCTTGTGCCTTGTGCACTGGATCCTCTCAACCCTGATTGCTATGTATGTGCCAGCAAGCCAGAGGTGACTATATGGCACAATGTCCATAAAGTGACCATTCTTACAAGATAACATAGTGAGGAGGTGTGTCCGGGTGTGTTCAGGGAAGCCATACTCTAAACCCAACTCTTAGACTTCCAAAATATTCAGGCAAGCACTGTGGAGGAGAGATTTTGTCACAGTATGACCAGAAACAACTGCAGAGGCACAAGAAACATGAGAAACCAAGAAAATATCTCTCTCCTAAAAGGGAAGACAACACTCCTCATCATCCACAGACAGTATAGTAGAATTCATGGAAATGTCTGATAGAGACTTCAGAATATTCATAGTAACAAAATTAAACTAGATGTAAGAGCTGAGAGATAATGAACTCCAGAAGATGCAGGAGAGAAGGGACAATGAGTTCCAGGAGGTGTTGAAGTTCTTTCATGATCTGAAAGAGGAAATACACGCTATAAAAAAGAATCAAATGGAGCTACTAGAGATGAAGGCTGCCATTCAGGAAATCAAAACCTCCCTCAAAAGCATTAAAAACACATTAGTCCATGCAGAACATCAAATCTCAGATGCCGAAGGCAAAAATCTCTGATCTAGAAAAAACAACCAAAAAAACTGAAAAAATAACCCAAATAAATTAAATTTTAAAAAATTTTTTAAAAAATGAGAATACTATACGAGAAATACTAGACAGCATTAAGTGCCCAAACATCAGGATAATCGGTATCCCAGAAAGTGAGGAAACTAATAAGGGCATTGATATTCTATTCCATGAAATCTTGGAAGAAAACTTTCCAAATCTAAAGAGGCATTCAAATGACCCAAGAAATACAAAGGATCCCTAACAGAATCAACTCAAGAAGATCTTCCCCAAGGCACATCACAGCCAGACTGGCCAAATCTACAGACAAAAACAAGATACTAAAAATGGCAAGAGAGAAACATCAGGTTACTTATAAAGGTTATCCCATCAGGCTATCCTCAGACCTCTCAT